GTGATCCACCCGCCTCGGCCTCCCAAAGTGCTGGGATTACAGGCGTGAGCCACCGCGCCCGGCCCTGAGAGTGTTTTATATAATTTCAATTTTCTTAGCTTTATTGAGGCTCATTTTGTGGCCTATCATATGACCTATCTTGGAGAATGTTCCATGTGCTGTTGAATAGAATGTGTATTCTGTGGATGTTGGAAGGAATGTTCTGTATATATCTGTTAAGTGCATTTGATCCAAGGCAAAGTTTAAATCCATTGTTTCTTTGTTGACTTTCTGTCTTGATGACCTGTCTAGTGCTGTCAGTGTCATATTGAAGTCCCCCACTACTATTGTGTTGCTGTCTCTCTTATTTCTTAGGTCTACTAGTAATTGTTTCATAAATTTTGGAGCTCCAGTGTTAGGTGCATATATATTTAGGATTGTGATATTTTCTTGTTGGACAAGGTCTTTTACTGTTGTATGATGTCCCTTTTTGTCTTTTTTAACTGCTGTTGTTTTAAAGTTTTTTTTTTTTTTATTTTGTCTAATATAAGAATAGCGATCCTGCTCACTTTTGGTGTCCATTTGCATTAAATGCTCTTTTCCATCCCTTTAAGTTTATGTGAGTCGTTATGTGTTAGGTGAGCCTCCTGAAATCAGCAGATAGTTGGTTGGTGAGTTCTTATCTAGTCTGTAGTTCTGTATCTTTTAAGTGGAGCATTAAGGCCATTTACATTCAATGTTGGTATTGAGATGTGAGGTGCTGTTGCATTCATTGTACTATTTGTTGCCTGTGTACCTTTTTTTGTTTTTGCTTTTTAACTTTGTATTTTTATTTTATAGGTCCCGTGTGATTTTTGCTTTAAAGAGGTTCTATTTTGATGTGTTTCCAGGATTTGTTTGAAGATTTAGAGCTCCTTTTAGCAGTTCTTGTAGTGATGACTTGGTAGTGGTGAATTCTCTCAGCATTTGTCTGAAAATGACTGTATCTTTCCTTCATATATGATCCTTTGTTTTGCTGGATACAAAATTCTTGGCTGATAATTGTTTTGTTTGAGGAGGCTGAATATAGGGCCGAAATCACTTCTAGCTCATAGAGTTTCTCCTGAGAAATCTGCTGTTAATCTGATAGATTTTCTATAGGTTACTTGGTATTTTTGTCTCACTTAAGATGATTTCCTTCATCTTAACTTTAGATAACCTGATGACAATGTGTCTAGGCAATGATCTTTTTTTGATGAACTTCCAAGGTGTTCTTTATGCTTCTTGATCTCTAGCAGGGCTGGGGAATTTTTCCTCAATTATCCCTCCAAATATGTTTTCCAAATTTTTAGATTTCTCTTTTTTCTCAGGAACACTGTTTATTCTTAGATCTGGTCATTTAACATAATCTCAGACTTCTTGGAGGCTTTGTTTATATTTTCTTATTCTTTTTTCTTTGTCTTTGTTGAATTGGGTTAATTTGAAGACCTTGTCTTTGAGCTCTGAATTTCCTTCTTCTACTTGCTCAGTTCTATAACTGAGACTTTCCAGAGCATTTTGCATTTTCTCTAAGTATGTCCAATGTTTCCTGAAGTTTTGATAGTTTTTTGTTTTTGCTATTTTCTTGGATATTTCTCCCTTCATTTCTTGTATCATTTTTTGGATTTCCTTGCATTGGGCTTCACCTTTCTCTGGTGCCTCCCTGATTAGCTTAATAACCTCCTGAATTATTTATCAGGTGAATCAGGGATTTCCCTTTTTTTTGTTGTTGCATTTTAGGTTTTGGGGTACATGCAAAGAACATGCAAGATTGTTGCATAGGTACACATGTGGTGGTGTGATTTGCTGCCTTCCTCCCCTTCACCTATATCTGGCATTTCTCCCCATGCTATCCCCCCTAACTTTCCACCCCCCGCTGTCCCTCCTCTATTACCCCCAAGAGACCCCAGTGTGTAGTGCTCCCCTCCCTGTGTCCATGTGTTCTCATTGTTCAACACCCGCCTGTGAGTGAGAACATGCGGTGTTTGATTTTCTGCTCTTGTGTCAGTTTGCTGAGAATGATGGTTTCCAGGTTCATCCATGTCCCTACAAAGGACATGAACTCATCATTTTTGATGGCTTCATAGTATTCCATGGTGTATATATGCCACATTTGCCCTGCCCAGTCTATCATCGATGGGCATTTGGGTTGGTTCCAGGTCTTTGCTATTGTAAACTGTGCTGCAAGGAACATTCGTGTGCATGTGTCCTTATAGTAGAACAATTTATAATCCTTTGGATATATATCCTGTAATGGGATTGCTGGGTCAAATGGAATTTCTGTTTCTAGGTCCTTGAGGAATCACCACACTGTCTTCCACAATGATCGAACTAATTTGCACTCCCACCAACAGTGTAAAAGTTTTCCTATTTCTCCACATCCTCTCCAGCATCTGTTGTCTCCAGATTTTTTAATGATCGCCATTCTAACTGGCATGAGATGGTATCTCAATGTAGTTTTGATTTGCATTTCTCTAATGACCAGTGATGATGAGCATTTTTTCATATGTTTGTTGGCATCATGTATGTCTTCTTTTGTAAAGTGTCTGTTCATATCCTCACCCACTTTTGAATGGGCTTGTTTTTTTCTTGTAAATCTGTTTTAGTTCTTTGTAAATTCTGGATATTAGCCCTTTATCAATGGGTAAACTGCAAAAATTTTTTCCCATTCTGTTGGTTGCCAAGAATCAGGGATTTCTTCTTGCTTTGGATCCATTGGTGGTGAGCTAGTGTGATTTTGGGGTTGGGGGTGTTAAAGAGCCTTGTTTTGTCATATTACCAGAGTTGATTTTCTGGTTCCTTCTCATTTGGGTAGGCTCTGTTATAGGGAAGGTAGAGGACTGAAGGCTGTTGTTCAGATTCTTTTGTCTCATGAAGTGTTCCCTTCATGTAGTACTCCCCCCATTTTCCTATGGATGTAGTTTCCTGTGAGCTGAGCTGCAGTGATTGTTATCTGTCTTCTGGATCTAGCCACCCAGCAAGTCTACTTGACTCCGGGCCGTTACTGGGGGTTGTCTGCACAGAGTCCTGTGATGTGAACCATCTGTGGGTCTCTCAGCTGTGGATACCCACACCTATTCTGGTGGAGGTGGCAGGGGATGAAATGGACTCTGTGAGAGTTCTTAGCTTTGGTGGCTTAATGTCCTATATTTGTGCTGGTTGACCTCCTGCTGGAAGGTGACACTTTCCACAGAGCATCATCTATTGTAGTATGGAAAGGAACTGGTGGTGAGTGGGGCCCTAGAACTCCCAAGAGTATATGCCCTTTGTCTTCAGCTACAAAGGTGGGTAGGGAAGCTCTTTCAGGTAGGGGCAGGGCTAGGTGTATCTGAGCTCAGGCTCTCCTTGGGCAAGTCTTGCTGTGGCTGCTGGCGGGGAGGGGCTGAGATTCCCAGGTCACTGTCATGTACCTAGAAGGATTATGGTTACCTCCGCTGAGTCATGCAGGTTGTCAGGGAAGTGGGGGAAATCCATCAGCACAGACTTCACCCAGCTCCCATGCAATCTGATGGGCAGGTCTCGCTCCCATCGTGTGCCCTACCAGCCCCAAGTCTGTTTCCAAGCAGTGAGTGAGCAGGACTTAAGGACTTGCTCCAGGCTACCCACCTCCCAGCTGCAAAAGCAAAGGGTTTTGGTTCTTCCCCCACCCTGCTGTTTTCCCCTGTGCCTCTGGCCACCCTCCCAAAGGATCCCTGTGGTGCCAGGCCAGAATGGCCTGCTTGGGGACCCAGCAAACTCCCAGGGTGTTTCCCACTGCTTCTTTCGCCCTTGTATTTCACTTGGCTCTCTAAATGGACTAAGCTCCAGGTAAGGTCAGAAACTTCTCCCACAAACTAGACCTTCAGTTTCCCCAGTAGGGGTGTGTGTTCAGGGGCATAGGATCTCACTTTCCCACTTCCATGGCTTGGGCACTCACAGTATTTGGGGTGTCTCCCGGCTCCTGGAAGAACAGTCCTCTTATTGTAGAGGATCTGTGGGACCTCTTGGGATTCCTAGTTTTTTCTTGCAGTTGTTTCAGAGCTAAAATTCACAATGCAAGCCTCCACACACTTCTCTGTCTGTCCGAGTTGGAGCTACAATCTAGTCCTGCCTCTTGTCCGCCATGGTGATCCTTTGATGCTTTTTAAATGTTATTTTTTAAATGATATTTTCTATTTGTTTGTTGCCAGTATACATAATAATATTAGTCATACATTTTCTAAAATAATAGACTTTAGTATGGAACAAATATTATTTACTTTTAATATAGAGTATTGACTACTAATGACATATATATTCCAAAGGTAACAATTAGAGCAACACCTCAAATCTTCAACTGTTCTCAGCCTTTGCCTAGTCTGATTATGATTCTTGTTCTGCATTGAGCAAAAGTGTAATAATTCCTCTTTCCAAACGTCTTTGATGGTGGAAGATCCCTAGATCTGTGCATTATTTCCCAGATATTTTAAGAGTTGCTACAACTTTTAGCTGTTGCCTGTTCCGTATTGATAATGACCAGTGACCAGCTCTTGGTAACTAACTAGATCCTTTTTGTATCTTCTCTTCCTCTTTTCCTGGGGCAGGTATTATTTTTCTGTATAGAAGAAAAATAATACCTCAGCAAGAAGAGATAAGGAGAGATCATTTTCTTTTTTTTTTTTTGAGACGGAGTTTCGCTCTTGTTACCCAGGCTGGAGTGCAATGGCGCGATCTCGGCTCACCACAACCTCCGCCTCCCGGGTTCAGGCAATTCTCCTGCCCCAGCCTCCTGAGTAGCTGGGATTACAGGCACGCGCCACCATGCCCAGCTGATTTTTTGTATTTTTAGTAGAGACGGGGTTTCACCATGTTGACCAGGATGGTCTTGATCTCTTGACCTCGTGATCCACCCGCCTCGGCCTCCCAAAGTGCTGGGATTACAGGCGTGAGCCACTGCGCCCGGCCCAGGAGAGATCATTTTCATCACATGATCTTCCTTTGATCCAAACAGATTTCATTTTCATCTACATCCTCTCTTTCTCACTGAAGTCTTTAAAATGCAAGCTTATGCATACATTATGTGTTTCATTTTAGTATATGTATTATATATACTCACTGATTGTTTTAAGATTTTCTTAATTCATTTTTTTCCTCAAAATATGGCTGGGGGCTACCTGTGTCACAACCACAACATGGTGTTTGTTAAAAGTGCAGATTTCTTAGCTCCTCTCCAGATCTATGAATAAGCAATTCTGAAGATGGGATTCAGGGACCATTTTATTTTATATTTTGTTTTGTTTTATTTACTTTTGAGACAGTGTTTTTTTTTTTCTTTTTTTGAGACAGGTCTTATTTTGTTACCTAGGCTGGAGTACAGTGGTACTAATCATAGCTCACTGCAGACTTGAACTCCTGAGCTCAATTGATCCTCCCTCCTCAGCCTCCCAAGTAGCTACAAATCTTTTGCCCCAATAAACAGAAAAGACCAGTTGTTTGAAAGCAATTTATTCTGATTTATCAAAACTGTAGGCATGAAGAGCCCTAAGAAGTGCCATTTAAGGCATTAGAAATAATTCCATGTAGAAATTCATGTGTCATTTTAGTGGTGACTCATTCTATAAACATCCAGTGCTTGAACTGGGAGGAAGTGAGAGATAGTAATGTGCTCTTTTCTGTGGCTTAAAAGCTTTTCTCTGCTGAAGAATGCTTGGGTCTAACTCTTGCCTTCTTTTTTCCTATGAAGGGGGTAAAGTGGATGTTGGGAAGTGCACCCAAATTCCCCTTCTGCACTGAAGGAATTTACTTCCCCATTGGTTGCCCTCTGATGAAGAAACCACTTTGCAAAGATCATGGCCCCTTCCTGAGGTAGCCTGCATCCAATGACAGGTCCGTACCTAGTAGAGAGTCCCAATCCCCCGTCCCAACTCAGAACAACATCAAAGGGCTAGTCCAGCTTCAAAACTGCCTGTGAGAGTCAGCTGAGGTCTTTTCGAGATGGCATCTCAGCCCAGTTTCTCATTCTGCCCAATCCTGCTTCATTTCCTTACCCCATAGTTATCAATCACTCCCAAACAAACTTCCTGAATGCTAACCTCTGACTCCAAGGCTGTTTCCATGGAATCCAGCCTGCTATATAGGGTATAGAAAAGGCATACTTTCATTGTTGTAGGGTGGAAGTCACAATTAGTGTACATAGGGAGTTTAAATACTGATAAGCATAGTAACGGTTCCCAGTTGTAGAATACTAAAGAGACCCTAGAGATTCAGGAGTTATTTAGATCAGTAGTTCTTAAAATTGTACCAAGATATGTACCAGAATGTGTTGAACAGGGTGTTTTTTTTTTTTTTTTTTTTTTTTTTTTTTTTTTTTTTATTTTTTTTTTTTTTTTTTTTTTTTTTTTTTTTTAAATGTGATTTCCCAAGCTTTATTCCAGACTTTCTGAATCATGATCTTTAGGAGTGGGAGACCCAAGATTAAAGAAATAATTTCAGGCAGGTGCAGTGGCTCACACCTATAATCCTGGCTCTTTGGGAGGCTGAGACAGGCAGATCACTTGAGGACAGGAGTTCGAGACCAGCCTGGCCAACATGGTGAAACCCTGTCTCTACTAAAAATACAAAAATTAGCAGGGGTGGTGGCAAACCTGTAATCCCAGTTACTGGGGTAGCTGAGGCATGGAGAAGAGCTTGAACTGGGAGGTGGAGGTTGCCGTGAGCCAAGATCGCACCACTGCATGCCAGCCTGGGTGACAGAATGAGACCCTATCTCAAAATACTACTACTATTACTATTAAAATAATAATAAAAATAATAATTTCCTGGTGATTTTGGTGAAACCAGTCTATAGTTCAGCACTTAAAAAATGCCTAACCAGGAATAAAAAGTTTGTAAGTGAGAAAAAAATTACAACCCCAAGTGCCTAAGCCCTTATTTTTGCTGTATGTATTTTTAATAAATAAAGATTAAGGTCCTACAGAACATGAAGACACGTAGAAAGTGCTGGGTAAATGAAATTAATGAGAGAACAAAACTGCCATCCTCACACAGTTTAATTATTGCCTCTCTTGTGGAGGTAGTCATGTCTAATAACCCATGGGACATTTAGACAAACATTATCAGACTCCCTGACCAATACAGGAAGAAACTCATGCTAAAGCTACTCCTGCAATGCACAATGGCCTCAGGAAATACAAGTGAGTTTTTCATCATTTAAGGCCATTCAAGCAGAATATGGATGGCCTATTGTTCCTGCAGTGGGGATTTCTGCACATGGAAAGAAGTTTAACTAGATTGTCTGAAAGAGTCTACGATGCAAAAGACAGATGGGTGCTCTATATCATCAGAGAGGAGAGAGGACAATTTCAGTGGGAATGCTTAAGCCTGAGAGCAGTTAGTTATGATTTTCAGCACATCAAACTTGGACGAGGGCATGACCTTTAATGGGCTTATAGAGAAAAATAAATGAGTGCTGTGATATTTCTTCAAAAAAAATTAACACTGGTTAATCTTATGTAGAAAGGATACTATAGGAAGGCTGTGTGTGTGTGTGAGATAGAGTATGAGTGGTCTCTTTCCCACCCTATAGTCAGGACAGTTCACATAGTCAAATTCCAGTGGGACTCTAATTGAGAGAGCAGAGTTGTTTTTCTTAATGAAATCCAAGTTTTTCCTCCAGAGAGGAGCTTAGAATAAAAATGGGATTACGTTGTCTTAAAAAACAACTCAATACAGGTCACAGTGGGATAAATTTCATATACTTAATTGAATCTTTTTGTGAGTGGCATTCTTTAATGAATTTTTTAATAAATGATACAGTGTTTTCATTTAGTAGCAACAAAAGGGAGAATTGCTTTATAAACATTTTAATAGAAAATTTATATATTGAAAGCTGTACCGCTTCCTCAAGAGGATATACTGTGTTTATTTCCCCAAAGCAGATGGTGCATCAGTATGTGGCCTCAAGGTATTTATATCCTTAAAGTCTCCAATGTTCAAGTTATGTGAATGGACAGGAGAGCTTTTAAAAATTCCTTTTTGAAAATAATCCATCTGGGGAAGAGCACATTATCAGGGTAATTTTTGAAGGCAAATATTCAATCATTTTGATTTAAACTCAGTGACCAGGAAACAAAGCATGCTATAATGGAAAGAATAATGAAACAATAATTCTGGAATTGGTGTTATTACCTTTAACAAGTTGTATGATCATTAACCCCTTTTCTTTCTGGAATACTGAATTTTTCTTGACATAGTTTGGCTCTGTGTTCCCACCAAATCTCATCTCAAATTGTAATTCCCCTTGTCCAGGGAGGAGATGATTGGATCCTGGGGGTGGTTTCCCTCATGCTGTTCTCATGATAGTGCATGAGCTCTCATGAGATCTCATGGTTTTATAAGTGTCTGGCATTTCCCTTGCTTGCACTTCTCTCTCCTGCTGCCACGTGAATATGATCCTTGCTTTTCCTTTGCCTTTTGCCATAATTGTAAGTTTCCTGAGGCCTCCCCAGCCATGAGAGACTGAGTCAATTAAAACTCCTTTGTTTATAAATTACACAGTCTTGGGTAGTATCTTTATAGATATGTGCGAACAGACTAATACATTCCTCATCTATGACATATTGGGATAGCTAATCTTTAGGGGCACTTTCAGTTCTAAAATAGAACCTGATACTACCTGAGAATTTTGTTTAGGACCCATCAGCAAACCTACATTCTTGGTTCTACTTACTATATGTAGATGAAAAGCCATGCGTTTATGCTCTTAATTGCCTCTGCAGATGATGATCTCTATCATAGAGTTACTCTGAGGATTAAAATGAAAAATGAGATAATATATTTAAAGTAATTAGCACAGTGCCTAGGTATAGCATAGAAAATATTTAATAAATGTTCCCCCCAATCTCTTTATTATTTAGTCATATAACCTCAGTGACAATGGACCTAGGTGTTTTCTAGGCATAAACACTTAATATTCCAAATTGAACATTTCAGTTTTTTGGTAGTTATGACTGATATAAAAGTATAGCTAAAGTCTCTATTCTTTAAGGCTTTATTTGAAATGTAGTGGAACTTCTCTTATCATGGATAAATTGCATTGGTATTTGCATGCAAATATGAAATGTTTTTCTTTAAATTTTTTTTCATTAAAAAACTAACCTAAGGCCAGGTGCAGTGGCTCACACCTGTAATGCCAGCACTTTGGGAGGCTGAAGTAGGAGAACTGCTTGAACCCAGGAGTTCGAGACCAGCCTGGGCAACATAGCAAGACTGTATCTTCACAAAAAATATAAAAATTAGCTGGGGATGGTGGTGTGTGTTTGTAGTCTCAGCAACTTGGGAGGCTAAGGTGGGAGGATTGCTTCAGCCAGGGAGGTTGAGGCTGTAGTGAGCCATGATCACATTACTGTACTCTAGAGAAAGACCCTATGTCAAAAAAAACAAAAACAGAAACAAAAACAAAAACCTAACTTATGCATGAAATAAAACTAGGAAGTAGGAAAAATTTTTTCCTATCAAATATAATGGCCATTAATGTTAACATTTTAATACTTCTTTAATATTTATTTCATATTTAAGTTTTTAAAATTTTTGATTGGAGCATATGGTAGATATAATTTAAAATTCTGTTTTTATCAATTAATATTATAAGCATGTCTCACATAATTTGATCTCTTTACAATCT